GTAAACTAAAGAGCATGAAACCGAGTAAAAGGGGGATAAAATTCTAATTGCATCTAAAAAAAACTTATATAACATGAAACTGGTTGACATTCACTCACGTTACTGTTGCTGAGCTGAACGAGTTGCTTCATCAACTGATTAGTCTCTTTCGACAATTTCTGAGCTTTGTGAGCCAACTGGAAAAGTTAGGCATTACGTGGTAGCATCACAGAAAGAAGCGAGAAACTGAGCGACACAGGTGAACGGTCAAAATTGCAAGTTTAATGTAGTACTTTTTCCGCTTTATAGAGTGTTTGCTGCATGCTGTAGTTCCTAATGACCTACTGGCTACTTTTAACATACTTCGAGCTTGGGATGAGTATATGAGCAAAAAGCATACCTCATTGAACTGCTCGCGATGTTGCTCACTTTCTGTCAATCTACTGATGAACGAATCCAAATGTTGCACTGAAAAGTTGCACGATAGTTCATAGTGAATCCAGCTACAGAACTGACCAGTAAAGAACACCTCAGCAAATAGTGTGCTCAGTTTTGAAAGGCGCTTTCAAATGACTTGCGACCGTTTCACCTGAGCATAGAGCTCTCATGTGCCTCCCCATAAAAAGATAAAATGATAAAGGCTCTGCTGTTGGCCTGAGCGGGAGCCCGACCGAGACTTGACCCCTGACCGCGCGTGGTAAGCTTGCCATTCCACGCCGCCTCGTGCCTCCCATTATCTATTAGGTTGTCCGGAAAGTTCTCAGCGTTTTGAGTGTTTCACTTTAAACGATCATAACTTTCTTAATACTCATCGGATTTAATCGAAATAAGCACCGTTCGAATCAGCACACTTTTGCCAGTCGATAAATCCCATCAAAGAAAAAACTGGGTGGTCGAGAATCCACGAAGGCTTTTTTGCCTGGTCCTGATTGATGAAGTATTTTCCAGCAAGGAAGTTCTGAAAATGTTTGAAAAGGTGATAGTCGGTTGGTGAAAGGTCTGGAGAATATGGCGGGTGAGGTAGAACTTCAACCCCCAATTCGTTCAATTTATGGATAGTGATTTGTGAAACGTGTGGGCGGGCGTTGTCATGCAAAAGAATCGGACCCTTTCTGTTGACAATGGCTGCAGCTGACGCAATTTTCGGTACATTTCGTCGATTTCTTCACAGTAGGACTCTGCTGTGATGGTTGGCCTGGTGACAAAAAGTTATAGTGGATCACACCAGCCGATGACCACCACACTGTGACCATAATCTTTTTTCGTGAGGATTCGGCTTTGGAAATTGCCTCAGGGGTCCGCCGGCATCCAGCCACTGTCCGGAACGTGCTATCATACATGATCCACTTCTCATCACAGGTCACAATTCAGTCCAAAAACGGGTCGTTTCTCGGTCGGTCGCCAACGCCTAGCTTTTCTGCAATCTCTCGAACTGTTTGGGATGGGTCAGCCTCCACAAACGCCTTCAAATCCTCGTCAGGTATTGCTTTAGGTCGACCGCTACGAGGTTCATCTTCAAGGCTGAAATCTCCAGAACGAAATTTGTCGAACCATTGTCGCACGGTGCTTTCTCCAACACTATTGGGCCCCCACACCTGGTTAATTTGTCGAGCTGTCTCGACTGCGGATTGACCCAATTTGTAGTTGAAGAAAAATATCGTCCAAGTGCTCTTTTGACATGCTTGAAAAATCTTGAAAAAAGGGGGTTCAATCAAGCAATGGTGAAACGGCAATTATACCATCAGATAGCGCAAAAAATTCTCTTCAGGATGTACTACTGAGACGCAAGGGAGAATGAGTTTTTAATCAGCAATGAATGTACAAAAAATAATAGCTTCTTCTCTCAGTAGTTTCACTAGCCGCAGCTCCCGAACTGTTTGGGATGGGTCAGCCTCCAAATCCTCGTCAGGTATTGCTTTGTCGACCGCTACGAGGTTCATCTTCAAGGCTGAAATCTCCAGAACGAAATTTGTCGAACCATTGTCGCACGGTGCTTTCTCCAACACTATTGGGCCCCCACACCTGGTTAATTTGTCGAGCTGTCTCGACTGCGGATTGACCCAATTTGTAGTTGAAGAAAAATATCGTCCGAAGTTGCTCTTTTGACATGCTTCAAAAAGTCTTGGGAAAAGGGGGTTTATCAAGCAATGGTGAAACGGCAATTATACCATCAGATAGCGCAAAAAATTCTCTTCAGGATGTACTACTGAGACGCAAGGGAGAGTGAGTTTTTAATCAGCAATGAATGTACAAAAAATAGTAACACAAAACGCTGAGAACTTTCTGGTCAACCTAATAACATCTCATCCTGACTTCAAATCATGTAGCTATGCAGATGACCACTTCAAAGAAGTATATTTGCCTACTGGAAAAAGGAGAATTGCAGAAAGTAGGTGGACTTCACTAATTATAACCCCCAGTACGCGTTTATACCTTGCTACACCGGAAAATCGGGTGGTTCTGAAATTGGGTAATCGAAAGTTACGTAGGAAGGATGCATTTATAGTTTTTGATAGGAGAACAGGAGAGTAGAAGAATTAGTGATTCGGCGTGCTAGGAGAATGCGCGCAGGCACAGATCTGGCAATCGATCCGGTGTAGGAGGATAGGCAAGCCAACGTTTTCCGAGGACTCCCCAAAACTCCCCAAAACGTCGATCTGGCAATCGCTCATATTCCTGCTCTCTCTCTCTCTCTCTCGTCTCTCTCGTCGCAGAGTATAACGCAGCACAAGTAGTATATGCGTATCGCCCTAAAGAATACACTTCAAGTTCGAAAAAAAGAAAAATTATAAAAGTGGAGAATTGCAGTATAGGCTGATCGGTACATATCCAACCTTTTTCAAAGATTCCCCAATCCACCAATTTTTCAGATTTACACGTATTGTATCCGTTTCGCGAATTCTCCGCCCTCAGCAACGTAGTGGTTCACCAGTTCTCTAGTGTCGCAAGGCGCAAACGAGGCACTAAAATTCTTTCGAATGGGAGCACAGCTCGCCGTCACCCTTTTTATTGATCTAAAACCCTAAACACCGTGGACGAGCTGAGGGTTGACCATGATCCCATCCATAACCCCAACATAAGAAATAGCCTTCATCTATATTCTCAGATGGTGAATAGCTGTCTCCAATCATAGATGGGTACACCGGAAAACTTTTTTCAAGCCCATTCCACGGTTAATTAATTACTTCCATCGACTCGACGTTGCCTACATGGCAATGTCCCTGCTTAGTCTCGCCTCTTTTCCGCGAGAATGCCCCGTTCACCACCAAGAAAACTCCGATCAATTCAAACCTAAAAGAGGTATGCAGAGCGTTGAAAAGATTTCTAGTGAAGATTGTAAGTGCGTTGAAAACAATTATCGAAATGGACTTGATGAAAAGAAACTAATGTAATAGAAACCGCATAAGAAGTGCAAAACACTCTTCTCACCTTGCTGTCCCAACTCTTCAATATTTTCCTGAAGTTTTCTAATGATAGTGCCATCATTGCTGTCGAAATCCATGGCACTAAATGTTCAGACTTACTGGTAAACGTGTTGAGAATCAGAACTGCTAATAAACAACAAGGTCGGGCGATAACGTGCAAATGAACACAAAGCTTCGCAAGCTGTCGTGAAGGCGTATGATAGGCACTGGACATGCGAACAAACATCAATCAGCTGGTTGTGTTCGCCGCAACGCAATCGCCATGACATTGAACAGGCAAGGCCATCAAAGACAAACCCCGCCATTGCAAATGTTGGTAGAGGCGTTCAATTACAATCCTATAATCGCTAAATGGCTCTCCAGGGAAGAAAAGAGCAAAAAAAAATCATGAAGAACACTCTAAATACATAAGGACCTGGCAAACTTTCTGGACGAATTCACCGGACCTGCTCCTTCTAGGCAAGCAAAGTGATATTTCGCAGTTTCTAGCTCACAAATCGTTTCTTCGCGTCATCTAATGCTAACAGCACTAAAGAAAAAAAAACGAAAAGCGTGCTGAATAACCGTACGCGTGACAAATAGCCTTCTGGTTAGAGTTTCGGTTGGCGGGACAACGGGAGGCCTAACTGCCCACATAAGGCGGGGCTCGTCCTGAAGCAAGGAAAAATTCTGGGATAATACGGAAATAAGACCCCTGCCTCCGTCCTCTGCTACGACCCCCCCCCTTCCCCATCCTACCCTATTACCTTGCCAACTTTTCCAGGCTTTCCTACCACTTTTACTGGAATTTCATTACCTGCCGTCGAGCGGAGTATATAGCACCACTGAAACGAGAAAAAACCGCTTCGCAAAGCAGCAAATTCTTCACAAAGGCGAATACGACCCCCTCACCCACCCTTGAAACAGGAAAAATCAACTATCATGAAAAATTCCTAACACCCAATACGACCACCTCCCTCCAGCGACCAACCACGATCCCCTGCCGGGGATTGCCCAACGTAGCATCGCCTGGTATGACTGCAGTGCCTTTGTTACCTACTGTGAAGCCGCGAACGTAGGAGAATCTTATAGACTGAGTGCCAGACTACATGAACAAGGAATTACGCCTACGAAATGGTTGAGCGCAAGGTTGTCTTTCATGCCCATTTGACGTACAACACGAATTAAAGACATTTTTCACACAATCAAGTATGCATTAGCATCCTTTTTAAGGAAACAGGCAATGAAATTGATTGAAATCTTACACAAAACTCTTTATTTACATGACCAACATGAATCAATCAGGAATATAACCGGATATAAACACGAAATGAGTATCGAATAACGTGACCCGATACGATGAGAGAACGACAACGTTCGTGCTGACGCATGGCGCCGCGCTGAGGCATTTGACACGATTTGCTTTGGCGATGTGACACGGCAAAAACAAAAAGGTTACGCGAAGAGATTCCACATACAATGATATCTCAAAAAAAATTAACTGATCAAAAACAATAGAGGGTAAACAACTTCTGAAAAATAACAGTTCTGATATGCGGCACATCTGAGGAAATGACGAATCAAAAGCATCCAACAAGGTCACGAAACCAGTCACTTACATGGACTGGGTACAATAAGTGAACGCTGAGCAAAATGAGGACCACAAACGAGGTGTTTAAATGCAAAAGTGATAAATTCTCATTGAATGGTGCTCCGTGCATTCAAAAAAGCTCCACAGTTTGAGGGAGGTCACTCAACCGCGCAACCTAATGGCACTTCATTTTCCAGACTCGGCCTTAAAAGAGCCCAGACGACATGAGTCAGCGTGGCCCACAGGGGATCGAACTTCCCAGAACCGCTTTCAAGCCGCTGCGTGGCCCTACTCAACTGCGGGTTAAAAAACCTTGCCAGCGATTGTGAAAAATTAGAGTTATACATCTGAATGAGAACAAAAAAAATCGAATGTCGTGAATAGATTCCTCTATTTCCCAAACGCTGACCAAGCTTTCTAAATACAGAAATGCAAAAATTAGGAAAAAGGAGTGAAAAACGACGCTGACGTGGTTGGAAGGGGCCACGTGGCAGTGTGATAATGTCCACTCTGGGACCGCGTTCAGACTTTGAGCAAATTGGTCGCGCGATCACGAACGGGGGCGCTCCATCGCCAAGCGTGCACCGCCACAAAGACACAATTCATGTTGAATTCTGCCATTAGCTTGATGCACCTCTTGGTGGTGTAGCGCCCCAGGTACCGGTCGCGCGATCCGATCTCGCGATCCAATCGCATGAGCGATCCGATACGAAGTCTGAACGCGTCTAATAAACTTTGCGGACTTCGATCGCTTGCACTGTAGTAAGACTGCGCCATGTAAGTGGAAAGGACATTCACTGCTTGTTGGAGCGTCGTGAGGGCGTTCCAACGTATAAACGTTTCGGCGCGGAGCCAGTTCCGCTTCCATTAAGGCTGTCGCCCCATAGTGACAACAACTGGTGAGAACAATCTGGCGCTGCGCCAAAACGTAGGTACACAGGAAAGCTTCACATGACAAACCCGCCGCGTGGCCCATCCAAAGTACGTTAACGCGTAAAAATATCATGGTCAGTGACCACGAATATCGTATTCAATGAAATATATGGCCATGGTGTTCCATTGCCTTAGATTGCTGTGTTAGTCACGTATCAAGTCTACCCTTTTCAGAAAAAAAGGAGACCGCCATTTCTTCCGGTGCTATAGCTATTTGCGGCGGCATAGCAGAAAGAAGACAATGAAAATTTTGAGGATCCACCTCGAATAAACGGGGTTCAAAAACTACTCCAGCAAATGACCGCTGAAAGACTGCAAAAAAGGGACGCTTGATCTGTGACCATCACTCGTTGAATTTTTCTTCACATCATTACTATTTGAAGAAGTACAATAGTGGGAAACTAGTCTACGGTTGGAGTGCATTGACTCATCGTCTACCAGTCAGCAATTACGGATGACTCAGCGACCATCTCACACAGCGAGACATTATACAAGTAATACATCTCTAGTACCTAGTGATTGTTCCAACCATTGAGCCCTTTAGAATTTTTCTCAGGACACGATATGTTTTAGGTTGTGTTCACACTTTTCGTCAGCGTTTTGAGCGTTTCAAGCGACTAGGAAGGTATAGGTATTGATCTAGCATACGCCAGTTTGATGAGGAGGAAGATGAAGAGACACAGCAGCGCTTTGAGGGACTAGGGAGCATAAAAAATCGATCTAGCTTTTTGAGGCGTACCTCAAAGCATTGAGCGTTTCGCGCGCAGTCGCTGAAAATGCTGGCGCACGCACAAAACGCCAAATCGGTACCTATACTTTTTCAGTCGCTCGAAACGCTGGCGTAAAGCTTGAAGGTAGCCTTAGCGATGACTGGATGATGGTGCTGCACTCTGGTATAATCCAGGGGACCGGCCTAGTTTAAACGACTACTCTGTTTTTCGAAGTATAAGCCGACGTACTTCATGAACGGTTGGCGACAGAACCTCATACAAACCGAGCGAAAAAAGGAGGGAAAAAGGAAATTCGTATTTGCAAAAAACTGCAGCACTTAGAGCGTAAGGCGGCTTAGCCACACATAGGCTTATACCCGAGAAATAAGGGCAATCAGATTAATACAGGTCAGTTCCTCTTTTCCTGGGCTTTTCTGGAGAATAGTCTGAAACGCAACCGTCAACGGTCAAACAGAAAACACCGAGAACACTGGTCCTTCTACGGAGAACCAACCACCACTCTCTGCGATCCCATTACGCATCATGCGAAACTTGTCGCTCAATCAAAGCCGCCATATCCTCAATCTCTTCATCTTCCTCGTCATCATACTGGATGTCGCGAGTCTCTTCCTCGTCCGGGATTTCCGGACCATTATCTGTACCGTTTGTTTCGTCATCCTTTGTGGTTTCTTCGTAGCTGATCTCACAGAAATGTTCTTCCTCATCAGAATCGCCGTCTTCCACGGAATCCTCTTCTTCAGGTGTTTCGAAATTCCCTTCACGTTCCCATCGAGCACGTTTCATGGCTAGTTCCTTCTCCACCTCGTCATCTTCATCACCACTTCCATCACCACCATTCAGCCTCCTTTTCAACTTTTCTTCTACTTCTTCGTCCGAATCATCGCCTTCCGATAAAACCTCGTCAACCTTGAAACAGTATGGGCGAAAGCTATCGATAATAAAACGAACTTTCACATACGAAAACAAACCTCATGTTCCATAGCCGCTATTGTTTCTTTTTTCATCGCATCAATACTTGTAAGTTCTGGAATAATTCTGCTGCCTAAGGGTCGATCTTCGGGAGGTTTAGAGTCTTTCGTCAATTCGAACTCCTTTTCGTCAACCTTAACAGCATTATTTATTGTTGATCTCTCCTTTCTCAGGATATAAGTCAACAGACACAAAATTCCATGGACATGTAGGAAAAGTTCACAACTGAAATTGAATGCGAAATTTTCAGAGCGTGCCCACACGCCGAATTGCTATGTAAAACAGCCCAAAAGCCCGCAAACCATTTTCACAAGAGAAAAATACTACTCGTTGGACCTAGATTTCATTGAAGTAGCAATAACTTGTAATGTACGGACTTGAAACAGTGAACAATGCATGAATGTAAAAATGGAAATGGCCGAAAAACAACAACCTTTACTAGTTTCTCAACACAGGCGTATAGCCAGAGAGGTGTCACGATTGGAATGCCCAGCTTACATGCAGTCATAACCTTCCTATAAAAAAAAGATACGCTCACTTTTCCTGAACCAAACAAAGTTTATCTCACTAGAAATAACCTAAAGGATCACAGATATTCTCCTATTGGATTTTTTTCATGAGAACCAAAGAACGAAACAAAACAAAACTTCTATGAGGGTTGATATCACCACGAGAAATGGTAGCTCCTGAAGGGCATTGGGGAAAAATCAGGTCAAAGAGGGAAAATAAAGAAGGAAGGCAGACAGGGAACGGGCAAACAAAAGCCCGTTTGTTGTCTGCTTTTCTTCGAAGATACAGCTTTTTTGTGCTTTCTTGTGCTTAATCCAAGCGTGTTACTTTACTTGGTCAACCACAATGCCTTGGCTAGGAAAAAGCGCTGCGTCTAACCTAGAAAACTTGAAGACTGAAAACGGTGAGAGCGTTATATCTGCGTAGAGGATGCCAAAAGAAAAAAGATCTGGCAACAAGCAGTTGACTATGAAAAAGAAAGCTACAAGAAAAATTAAAAGTGTAAAACTTCTGGACTTACTCAGTACGTTCTCGAACAGCTTTCTGGGCTAGCTGATGCCCAAGTCAGAATTTTATCCCATGGGAGGGGCTTGGCACCACTTTATCGAACCAACAGGAATAATGGGAAGCTTGGTTAGGTGTGTTCTGGAATGCCTCCAGAACCTCCATCTTATTATAAGTGTCATCTCGACACAATGAGGATATTATGTGAATGTGACTTAGGCCCCTAGCAATGTGTTTATGACCCTTGGTGAGCAGATTAGATAGACCAGGCGCGACCCCGCCTGATGTTAGAGGGACGCCCTCTTTTGTAAGCATTCTACCACTAACCGCTCGATCAAGCAGTCCTCAATAAACGACTGCAAAGCCCATTTACTGTGAACAAGGTGGTAGCAGATCCGGAGTGCGACCCTCAGGACGCTGCGATAAGCAGCACCATTCGTCACTTTATCAACATCAACACAGTACTTTGGATCGACTTACAAAAAACACACACGGGCTCTAATTCAGAAACGACTGAATGTAATGACAAAGTACCAAAGCACCCTAGGTTAATTGTAAATGCAGAAGCAAGAGACAATGTTACTGAAGGACTTACGTTGTGCCCCATCGTACAGCAATCAAATGTGTTGTCTGCTCAGTTACTTGATCAGCAACCTAAAAGCACCTGCGCTCCTCATTCAGTCCACTCCACAAACCGCAAATGCAACTAACCGTGGCTCCAAACTGAACGCACAGACGATATGCCTCAGAGAGCTCAGTGTTCATTCCGAGGGGAACCACGCCGGAGAGCACAATAACAAGACCACGCAACACTTGCTTCTTGATGTAACTTATCACGACCTGCAATGAGGAAGAATGAGAATAGCTAACGGAATATCCTAGCTCCTAGTCACATTTTGTAAGCGCTAGACCAGTTCTTGAAAGCGCAAGATGGTCTGGGGCGGGCGGCTGCTGCTAATGTTATTGGTGGAAGGGCTGCGAGAGGTAGTTTAGCCGCTTCCCACTAACCGTTCACCAGCACCCCACTAAGCCCTTCCACCGGTGACGTTGGCAGCAACCGCCATCCCCAAACGTCGTTCCACTTCTTTGAATGAGAGTGTATGGATCGCCCCAACAATTTTTTTGAGCTCCTTGAGCTCCAAATAAACGATATTCACAAGTATTAACTGAAGAAAACTGAAGAACATGGGAACCTTGACATCTCTTATCTCTTTTGTTTTGTCATAGTATTGATAAAAATTCGCGTGCACATCGGTGAGCATCCTTTCAATGTGTTCAAGAGTACGGTCATGCTCTGCGTCGTGTTCTGTATGCGAAATGAGTAAGCATTAGTTGATGAAATATAATTCAACTTCTCATACCGATGTCAATAGCAGGGAGAACACAATCCTTTCCTGCTCCAGCCGGTGCATTAATATCGCCCACTTCCTTGAAAAATCTGTACGGTTTCACCTGCAACGTTGAAGTGTCGAAGCAATTTGGGCAGATTTTTACAAGAATGCGTAATGAGTAGAGCCAGGGACATTATGCTCGATAACTGTCTTGATTAAGGAAACCTGACTCGCCTGAATAAGAGCCTCTGAAAATTGCCAAACATCAGCGCGATCATCAATAATTGCAATCAGTTGGTCTCCACAAGGGAAAAGTGCTCTCAAATTTCGAGTTTTGTGTTGGGCCGAGAACAGCTCGTCTCTTGATAAGATTCGCTGGGCGAATAGTATCTTGCTGGGATATTTGGCGCCTGCGTCGATAGGGTAGGAGGGCCGTATTTCGTCTGAGAAAAACATTTTTTGATTGCTGATTTCTCCTGTTTCTTGGACGCTTTCCTTATCGTTGGGAGAACTCCAATGGGTGGGGGGAGGGTTGTACTTGTCCCCGCTGCACCCCTAGCTGGCAGTCCTGAATAATATCATTCATAGTTGAAATTAGCAGTTGACTGGTGACGACCTTCCTTTGTTCAACGGCAAATCTTCAGGAAAAACCATTTTGGAGCGTGTGGTGGGAAACTGGGAAAATATGGCAAGATTCTAGGTGAGATAGGGAAGAAGTAGAGGTCGTACCAGAGGAGTACTTCTGAGAGGGGGAGTCGCATTTCCCGGGAATTTTTCTCAGCGGCAGGACGTGCCCTGCTCTCTGTCACAACCAACCACTAATTTTAGCTACGGAGAATAGCAGTTATATTGGACTTTGACTGCGCCCGCCAGGATCTGGGACAAATGCGACCTTTTCTCCATTGGAATTCTACCAGCGATGTCGGTAGCACCCGTAACACAGGAAAAATCAACTATCAAAAAATATTTCTCTCGGATCAAATACGATCCTTTCCATTCCCCTCCAGTGACCGAGCACAACACTCCGCGCGTTTTCCAGCGTCGACGTGCCCTAGATGGGGAAAACTCGATGGGGTCGCAATTTCCGAAATTTTTTTCCAGCGGCAGGGCGTGCCTTGTAACAACTGTCCAACCCAACAGTACCGTGCTCACCCAGTGCGCTATCTAGACCCTATATGTTCTTGCTATCACCGAAAACGTTCAGAGAATCCAAACCTCAGCGATTTTGTGAGCGTATTGTCGTTGTCCATAGGTTATGATGTGCATTTCGTATAGTGCACTCATATGTTCGAGAAACTCATGCGTATACGGCCTTAGTTTTGTGTGGTATTCCGTGCCGAACATCTTGTAAGTGTGGATATCGCCGTGCTGAAGTGTAGAAACAAGGATTTCTATGGATTCCGAAAACTATGATCAACTTTCCTTACCACTTTGGGATCAACTTTGAATGGGCGATTTGTCGTGTGAATTATGGTTTGATCGAGGTCGACCAGCAACACTAGTTTACGGGAGTTTAAGACATTCTTCAAGTCTGCTGAACCCAATTCTGTCGCTAACTGCAACGAAAAATCACATAGGTTACATCAGAAAGAAGCTTTCCCAATCACTTACATCATCCGAAACGATGAGTTCTGGCACATGATGGATCATCGATACATTCGCTGTTGCAGCTTCTTTTCGCTGCCCAGCACGACCATCCTTCCTAGATTGACAAGAATGAATTTGACACAATCCCCATATATGTACAGTGGTCACCGGCACTATTTACCATTTATCGCCCCAGTTTCTGCAAAGGCCAGAACTTGAATTTGCCTGGAAAACTGGTTACCAGGGGCAGTTGGACGTCTTGACACGAATATCACGAATATCGCTCAATACGAAATCGCCTGGTTCCTCCACCACAGCAGAGGATCAGTCCTGGCAGATCACCATTTCGGAGGAAGGGAGCAGATTAGCAGAAGCAAGCCTTCTGAACCCCACCCCCCCCCTTCACTTCATCCTTAACTTTCTTGGCATCCCATACAAATATTTGTTTCAAGGGGTCGAACTACCCTGGGAGCAAGTATTTAGCGCTTAGGTAATTTAGGCCATTTTGGCGCGGACGCTTGTGGCGCAAGCGTCAGGCGACTTCGGGCCAAACGGATGCAATATTCATGTTCTAGAAAACAAACTTTTCAGGAGAGAAATCTCTAGCCAGGTTCGAATGCGGAGAAAAAATTCGGTAAAACAGTTTCCAGATTGCGAGAAATTGGAGAGTAAAGGGTATAGTGAAACATAAAAAGGTGTAGTAAGAAAGAATGTTTGTGAAAAGAAACTGACTCTCTGAGATCACGACCGCAGGTTGCGCACATAATCTTTGATAACAATAGCATGATGAACATGGCTTCCATACCGAGCGATGTAGAGCATATCCTGACGAAAATAGACACTTTTAGAATTTCACAGCCTTCGAAACAGATTGTGGGACAACATCAGTACCAAGGAATGCAGATCTACGAATATTGAGAGAATTACAAACGCTGAACAATTTCCTGCACCCTTTCTCGGTGCACCGAAATCAAACGTACGCACCCGAACCTTCGATTGGTGCTTTGAGTTTCCACGGTCATTGTACCAGATGGTGTCTGGTACTGGCTCCAGCACACCACCTAAATCCGAACTATCCGGAACTTGTCTTATCAACCTCAGATCCTCCAGTCTTTGCACTTCACGCTGTACATTGAATCATGGTTTGACTATGGAATACCTTTGTCTTCAAACATTACGAATTATTTTTTCACAGTAAATGCATTAAGTACTGAATGTGCTAACTTCCCTTAATTTTTCGCTAACTCTTCCCTGTATGCTTATTCTGCCCATCCAAATTGCGCCTACTTCATCACGGTGAACTAATGTTGAACCCGGAACACTTTTTTGATCGTAGAGCCACGGATATCGACGAGCACAGCGAGGTAGTTCTATCAGTTGTTGTTGAAATGAGTCACTATCTACTGTTTCCAATTATAAGAAGCTCTTTTTAACTAGAAGGTACTGATGGGAGCAGCTTTGAATAATGCGGTGGTGTTATTGTGTGAATGACGTGCATTACGGGGTAGTCAAGGACTGAAGCAAAAATTGTGGCCCCATTATCCTGCTTCTCGTAGATAGACCACCTTTTTAGCGTTGCGACATGTTAGCGACACAATGAGCGCTGATTTTTCCTTTCTTCATTTCTTACTAACTACTGCATACGGTTCTTCCGGTTTTGCGTGTTTCTCCTTTCGAAGATAGTCAAGAAGAGAAACAGGTGGAGAGCCATTAGCGAATGAGCCTAATTACCAGTCCAACGAGACTTCTGGTCTTTTCTGACGAGTTCGAGCGCAAGTGCATGAGAGCAGCGCAACATACTTCTCCATCTTTAATGATGCGAGTTATCTTCTCATACTACCGAGAGTAATCAGCAGCATGTCCTTTGTGGTTGGCTTAAAGCACTTCTTTCGTAGCTGTCTTTAGTTTACCACGAACTCCGGCGCAGAAGCAATTCACCTCGATTGCACTAGTAAAACAAACCTCATTCTTTCCGTGAAACACTGTTTTCGGCTTTTCTATTTGTCCGAATCACCAATAGCAGTGGAGATGATTGACGGCTGTCGTTTGGATGCAACTTACGTCGCGTTAAGCTGCACCACATCTTACATATCGTGGTCAATTCGCGACGGATAGTAACAGAATTTGAAAGCGAAATGTTGGAATATCACTGCAAGTTGGTTCGCCTGGTTTTTATGCCGCCCCTTTGAGCCAGTTCTGGCGAAAACACTTTAAAGTGATTTACGCTCCGAATCGACGCCCATTTCTCACAGCTCCGAGAAATCATGCGCAAAAGAACTTCTCTAGAGTCACCCCCTATTTTCTGGAGTATAAGGCGCATGCATGTTAACGGAGCACCTTTTGCTTCAATCAAACGCCGCAAATTCGTCCTTCCTGCCCTTCCATTTTTAACACATTGGCGACAGCGCCCTTTTTCGCGTGTCTGCCGCGTGGGACAAAGCAGTTTTTCCCTATTTTTGACGAGTGCGCATAAATGCTAGGGCTTTTATGCACCAAAACAATTGAAGAATGATAAGAATCATAATGCAAGAACTAGTATAAAGCTGTTCGCTACTTTCCAATACTTCCAAAAGAACACCCGAAATTTCCATGGAATTCTCCCGCCTCATTCACGTGGGACGTGGAAATAGGGTCGCAAAAAAGGAATAATTTCGCGGCAGAGGTGGTAAATCGGATTCGATCCAGATCTGCTATTGTCGAAAGTTACTTTATCCCATTAGCTATCTGCTTGTGGAGCTCCAGTTCTACAAATACAAAAATTGCTTTTTTTTCCTAAGGAAATCACTTTCGTTTGCCTCCTTGGTAAAATACTCTCAATGACACAACTGCATTGTTTACACCTACTGCATATTATACAATGCCTTCCTCTATAATATGTAGCTGTTAAAAATTTGAAACGTATTCAAATTGGTCTTTTACACATGCCGCATCCCAGCAGTGGGACGCAATGTCGCCAACGTGTTAAGCGTTTTTTTCCTTCTCGTCTATACTAATAATCCTAGTTTCAATAAAGAGGTTTTTGAACAAATGAAGCAAACTTTGAAAAGAAGACAGTATCCTAATGCTCTGTCACCCCTACGCGCGCGTTGTGAAATGCACAAATGGCGACTCTGTAGAATACATCCTATGTCCATAAAATAGGGTACTTCATTTCCAATGAGCAACACCTCAGTAGTCTCTGTGTATTGGCAATGTGCCTTTGAGCAAAAACCAATAGAGAAGATGAAACCTAGAAATTATATTCTTCTACATACCGCGTCCTTCATTACGTAGCTTCCCATCTGTCGTTTTCCTTTGAGCCACGGTGCCACCGGCCTCAGCCTCCTTGATGCGCACCTCCATCCAATGACGGTTTCTTTTCACAATAGCCCAAAAAAATTTTTTAGCAATCTGTGCCGTTATCGTACATTCATTTTAAAAGCTTAATTACAAAACATCTCGAAACTTGCTGCTTCGCATTTCAAGGGGCAGTTTGGCGACGGGTGGAGGGGTGGAGGCATTTTGCTCTTCTGCAATTTTTTATCGACGTATCGATCCATCCAGACAGCAATTTTACGAGCTTAAAAAAGTTGAATAGTTTCAACATGGTGGCTCGACGAGCATGCTCTAGCTTCAGCAGAGTTCACAGATTTCACCGAGTGAGACTTGTAAATAGTCACAAGTAAACCAGCAGAAGTGCAAAATGCCCTCTCTTCTGTCGCCAAACTACGCGTTCAAGAAATGCTCTTCGTAAATCACAATTCCGATTCGTCCGGCATTTGGCGCACTCAGACCCCTCTATCCCTAAATGGGCGTGGTTTCAGCTCCACTTAAACATCGCACATTGCACGGTTCATGTTCTCTTGGGACAATTCCGCTTGTGATATTTTTCGGCCGGGCGAAGACATCATTGTAATTGTCCTAAAGCTCCGATATTCCATCAAAAGCGTAACCAGCGTAACCACTGCCGCGGTTCAGATGACCTACTCGGCCACGCCTCCTCATATCTCACCCTTGGATGCCGAGTCCTTTCACATGGTTCTATGGGATCCAAAATGTAAACTGAAACCCCCAAACCGTGGTGCATGGAACAAAAAACCAGTTCATGTTCGGAAAGCCTTTGTAATTAGGCGTCAAAATAAGTCTCGCTAGCACTCTCCTTTTTTGCAGTTCAGCGACGGGGAAGGGGCACGTTGCACTTTCTCTACTCCCATTGACGTGTCGATCCATCTAAAAAGCTATTTCATGAACTCACGAGAGTTCACAGGTTTTAACATGGTGGTTCGACGAGCCTGCTCCAGCTTCACAAGAGTTCACATGTTTCACCAGAGTGCGACTTGTAAACAGGAACTAGTGGAGCAGCGAGAAAGAGCAAAATGCCCCTCCCCCGTCGCCGAACGACTGCGCTCCCATTGACGTGTCGATCCATCTAGAGAGCTATTTCATGAGCTCACGAGAGTTCACAGGTTTTACCATGGTGGTTCGACGAGCCTGCTCCAGCTTCACAAGAGTTCACAGGTTTCACCAGAGTGAGACTTGTAAACAGGAACTAGTGGAGCAGCGAGAAAGAGCAAAATGCCCCTCCCCCGTCGCCGAACCCTTTTTTCAATTATATCTAAAGCACAGTGATAACTCTTGGAAACAACACCTGGAGCATCAGAAAATGAATGAATTGTAGAACTTTATTAAAATGACAAATTCAACAGAAAAATACAAATGTGGGAAGCCGTGCACAAAAGCTGCGCCTTTACCGGATACTCTACAAACAAGAAACCAGCATTACGAAACAGCTCAGGGAACAATTAATAAAACAGTCAAACGCAACATCAAACGACACCACAGCACGTAATGTACAGCAGATTCTCACACTTTTCATAGACCCGATCAATGTGTTGAAGGCACGTCAACCTTCGGAGCTTAGAGATTAAGGGTAATCTTTTTCCTTTGAAGTTTCGGCGGCGAAAATGCTTCACGCATTCTGCGGTCACCTTCACCGTCATCGTCGGTTGTTTGTACCTTAATTTTTAGACATAATATGAGAAAAAAAACGATAAAAAACTAGCTAAACAAAGTCTCAACGAATCATTATAAAAATTCGAACTTAAAGGCACCATTGGGGTGCGAGGTGCCAGAATACAACATCAGTGTCCCTTCACTGCCCCTTCCACGAAGTGGTAAGGAAGGCGGCGAGAAGGATGGGTGCACCAATAACGCCGTTTCCAAGTTTTTGCCGAAAGGCAATCCCCGAAGACGTCAACAAAACCTTGGGTATGCCTACTCATTACCTTACCTTACTTTTATCCTCCTCAACGTCTGTCGATTCTTGAGGTACATACGGCTTCAGACCCGGTGGCACTTTTTTCGTAGCAGCCGCGTTCACTTTGAATTTTACCATCGATGCAAGAGCGGCTCGCGCTGGACTTCTCGCAGCTTCGTTTTCCTAAATACATCATGATGACAGAAAAATTGAAATGGAATCTTAAATCGTTTGCTCTACAACTTATTTTCTCATAAAACCTCGTTAGACATAAGGCGTCTCCTTTGTACACGGGAGATTTTCGTAGAGGAATTAACTGAAGGCCCAACGGTTCAATCAGATTATCGTCCCCAGGATAAAATTCTAGTACAGGAGACTGGGATCTCCAGAGAAGCGCTAGAGGCTTTATGAAAATCCACAAAAACTCCCAGAATAGACGCAGTTGTGCCACTAGTGACTATGGGTGTGTAGGGAAAGCACAAGAAGTATTATTCATTATTTTGAAGTCAACTAACGTGTAGAATTTTGCTCCTACGCGGTGTACCTCGTAGGTACAGTCGTTTTCCC